AATTGAGTGAAGTTTACGACGTGAACTGTAATAGGGTTTTAACTCTTTTATTAACGACGTTTAGCATGTCAAAAAAAGTATCGTTGTAATTTGCTTAGACTAAAATGCCCTTGGGAAGTCCAGATAAAATGCCCTAATGCCCTTACGCAGTCTCGGACCAGAGTAGTATGATTAGTACTTTTAAAGTTTTAATTACCGCGTATAAATTAGTATAAAAGTAAAATTACAAATTGCACTCATCAAAAATATATCAATAATATGATAAAATTATTTTAATTTTTGAAATTATCAATTAAAATATAGAAAAATACAAAAAGAATTGAGAGACTATAATAATAATTAATAACAATGTCAAATATTGAGGGACAAAAGGATTGATATTATATCAAAGTAGATTCAATCATATCAGATCAGACTCATTCAGATCTAATTAAATCAAATCTATTCTGGTCAGAACAATTCAAAAAATGTTGAAAAATACTCTCCCCGTTCCAAATTATAATGTTTGTTCACTATTACAGGGTCAAACTTCATTCACTTTCTTTCTCTATTTTCGTTAACAATTTGATAAAATAAAGTACTATTGTCACTACTAGTATTGTAGATCTTTTGATGTAGCATTTTAATATGTAATTTTTATTTTTTAACACTATACCATTTGTCATATAAAATGATTTCAAAATAGTTTCAGTCAAATATCGTAAACCGAAACAGACACTATAAATTGGGACGGAGGGAGTAATACTTTAACTTATTTGTCCCAAAACTTATATTGCATACAATCAACAACATTACCCCAATAGAGCTAATTTATTTACTTCCACACAATAGAATTAATTTATTTACTTCATAACTCACTATATTTTCTTGTAAATTACGGAGTACAATTATTTTTAGTGACACTTCAATTGTTTTTTGATACCATACTATTATTATTTTTAAAAAAAATGGTACTACAAAACTTGTGAATATATTTCGATAATTCTATATAAATGTTTTTTACAAAAGAACATTACAGCAGTTGTGAAAATAACACTATTTTTTTGTCTAAAATGAAACTTTTATTTTTATAATTCAATATATTTTTTGTTGTATTGCAATTTTTTCATGAACAACACTCTCATATATTTATTGATAATCTTCTATCATCCAAATTGCTTTTTTCTAAAATAGAACTATCCGACTTGTGATTTTTTTCGATAATTCAGTTCAAATCTTTTCCCCAAAAATATAATGCATAAGTTGTGCAAGTGACACAATATTTTTTCTCCAAAACAGGACTAATTTTATAACTCACTACATATTTTTGTATTGCAATTTCTTTCTGGAGCGATACTTTGAATTGTTGAATATTTGAATTTGAGTGATTTTCTATGATTTGAAAAGCACCCACTCCACTGCAATTTTTTGACAACCCCTCCATGGCAATTTTATTTATAATTAAAAGCACAAAATCAAAAATTCAACTACTTGTCTTGCATTAAAAATTGTACCTAGCCAAAACAAGAATAACTAACTTGGACAAAAGGAGTACCCTGGAGTTCTAAGAATAGCAATGGAAATTCATTGCTTTATTCTCGGAAATAAATGTTGCAGGGTACATAAGTCTCCTTCCAGTCATATAAAACTGAAATAAAAGCAAAACCGAACCATAATTTGGTTACCCTACTTGAAAGTATTCAATGATACAAATTTGTACAAACACCACATTCAATATTCATCCATAAAAAACTTCAATACACATAAAAAAACTGCTCTAATCCCAAGACAGCCAACCCTCTCTGTCCCATAAAAAACTTATCGTTCACTTTTTCATTCATCCATTAAAAAATTCACTTTCCTTTTAAAGAAACGAATATGTGGCTCAAAAAGTTTCTCTTTCCTCTTTTTAAACTCCGTGAAAGTCACACCGTGATGTTTTGTACGGAACAGAGGAAGTATTTACCTTAAACTTTGTTTTACAAGGTGGAAGTTTTATGCAGATGGAGTCTCCACTTGTCGTTTGGGCCGACTACGTCTAGGTGGACTTTCCGTCTCTTCCTTTGGAGAAATACCAACATCATCAATATCTTCATCTGATTCCAACATTGACTGCTCTATCATAAGCTACATAAACAAACAACCAAACAAACAAACGACCAAATTGATTATTCCTCAAGTGAATTTAGAAAGCATGACTTCAACTTGCTACACGATAGCTAGTTTTGAGTATCACGCCTTGAGTGACGTGGGGCCCTCTTAGTGTTCTACGGTTCACGAACAATACTGAATACAGCGATACGTAAATTCACATACAGTAACATTCGAATTTCCCAAAAAAAACATCTACATACATATATGTTTGAAACATTGAGATTTTGGAAAGAATGGTGCTATATCCACCCAAGTTTTGGCTAAATTTATACTCCACACCTTTTACAATAAATAGACATTTTCCCCATTAAATGTGGAAATATGAAATAGAAGATGTGGGCCAACATTAGAGTAATGCCAAAAGAGATATAGCATCACCCTTCGGTAAAAAATTGCTAAATGGCTCCGTGTGTGTGCATGAATATCAAATAGACATTTTGTTATTTTTCTTTCCTTTGTAGACAAGTAAACATGCATTATAATACTACAGACTCCCCAAAAGACAACTAATATATGGCTTAAAATGTCAATGCCTAAGCCCAATGGGGAAGTGCATTCACTTAGCCAAATACAAGGGTGGTTCAGTAAAACTAGAACTGGTAATGTTTATATTACAAAAGTAAACATTACTCTGTATTTGGCACCAGACTGTAAAGAGAAATAGTAAGCGAAATAGCACCAAAAGAATGAGTAGCAAAACCACCATGTCTCAGAGTGAAGAAGCTTGTGGTAAATCACTAAATTGTCCCTTAATGATAAAATTTGCACGGACTCGATCATTTAACTCCCTGAATTGTGTTTGCACCCTACACCTATGTCCTTCACTTTATGCCTTCTAGAATTGGCTCAATTGCTCCAAGCCAAAGTCTTCATGGATTGTATTGGAAAGAATCCTCATAAACAATTATCAACCTTTGTTGTTCCAAAAAAATCATCATTCTTTATGACATTTTATTAATGTTTTATTTGTTTTACAACAAACTAAAGGTAAATGAAAATATCATATATAGCATATATCATGAACATACACTCTCTCACCCTAACTAGACAAACTTTGATCATCAACTACATGAAACTTATATTGCATATTAATACAAAAATAATTTCAATATATTTATCTTGCAAAAATCTTTAAAATATTACTTTCGTAGTATTAATATAACAACAATAGCCATCCCGTTAAAATTCTACATAGTGGGGTCATAGTTTGTAAGGCGGCAAGGCGTGGCGAGGCGCCAATGTACCTTCATATCGCCAAGGCGACGACTAGGCGACATACATACCTACATATATATATATATATGTATGTATGTATAGGTTTTATACATTTTAAGGAAGCTTGACACATAAGACCGAGAGAGAGAGAAGATAAGTTTAAGTCTATTAGGCTACACTAAAAGAAAAAATGGGCTGCACTAAGAAATGGGTTTTTTCAAAATTTTAAAGGGGCCCAAGGCATCAAGCCGAATTAAGGCGAGGTAAGGCGACACCTAGGCGAGCGCCTGGTCTCCTTAAGGTTTTCTAGGCGAGGCGAGCAGACAAGGCGTCCCAGTGACAGCGCCTTATCACCTAGGCGACGCCTAGGTGACACCTTACAAACTATGAGTGGGGTCTGGAAGGGTGTGTACACATAATGTATCCCTACTCGGAAAGTAGAGAGGTTGTTTCCGAGAGATCCCACCTCAAGACACAAGACCACAACAACAAACGAAAGGAACACAAACAAAGAGAGAACACAAATTGAATAAGCACAACAAATGAATTGTTGGCACAGAAGCACGAAAGCAAAAGGCACAAACAAAGGTCATATTTTCAGTGACATTTGGTGGCCATGGCCCATAAGTCATGTCTAATCACATCTTTGCAACTCTTCTTAGGTCTACCACAACTCCACCTTTGTCACCCTAACTCAAGCCTCCCCCGCCTCCTCATTGGGCATCCGTGCCTTTCCTCAAGACGTATCCAAACAACCTAGCTTCACACAGCTTATCCTCGAAATAAACTCTTACCCTGCAAAAAACATCCCCGTTTCGAATCATATCCATCCTCATATGACCACACGTCCACCTCAACATACTCATCACTGCCACTTGTAGCCTCGGAATGTGAGCATCATTTACCGTCCATCACTCTACACCATACAGCATACATGGTCTAGCCACAATCCATAAAACTTCCATTTCACGTTCATCGATATCCTCTTGTCACAAAGGGCTCTCAGAAATTTCATTTAATTAATATGCAATATATTTTTTATTTAATTGCTTATCAGAGTTCATCTAGTTTAACTAGAAAAAGTCAAATTGGAAGAATACTTTAGTAATAGTAATCTCTTATATTTAACATGGGAAGAGATAAATTGCATAACATAATATCAAATAACATATTGGATTTATAATATGTACTAATACATGTGCTCTATAATGTTGTATTTCGTATATACTCCCTCCGTCCCACTTTTTTGTCCTAGTACACCTTTTTGGGTTATCCCAGTGTATTCGTCCACTTTCTATTTTTGGTAAAGTACTAAAGGGTACAATGACCAATATACCCTTGCAAGTCATGTTAGCTGAATTGAGAATTACGGAATACAAATTAAAGTATCTTCTTCAGTCCTCTTCAATCAATGAGCAGATACTTTCTTTCAGAATTATCTTCATTGATCAGCTACGTTGGGCTTCTTACTCCGGCGATAGAGATCTATTCTCAGGCAACTCTGTTCTTCCTACTCTGCCAAAATAAATCTATTTTCTATCGTTGCTTATCCGAACTTTTCTAGGTCAGATCTATTCGCCGGTAACTGCAGATGCTACCGCGACAAACCTAGGCTTTTCCACAGATGGTGTCCTCCTTTCATCTTTCAGTTGAATTGATGAAGAGATTGATTGTGTGCACTTTGTTTTTCATTTCTCTCTTTTCGTCATGTATGAATCAGATCTATTCTGAGGGAATAAAGATCTAGTTGTTGCAAAAGCTATTTTCCAAGGACTGCATCAATGAAGGACAGCAGAGATGATCTCCTCTGAAGGGAGGACGGCAGTGACGATATCATGTGAAGGGAGGACGACAGTGACGATCTCCAGTGAAGAGAGGACGACGGTGACGATCTCTAGTAAAGGGAGGACGACAGACTGGCAGAGAAAATCTCTGGGGAACGTGTAGCAGCAGAGAAGCTAACTTCAATTCCGACTTTGGATTGTCTAGTGTGCTGATAATTTTAATAGGGATATTTTAGACATTTAACCCCACTTTTCTTCTTGCCTTGGTATTTGGTCCAAAAAGAAAGTGGACGAAGAGAGTGGGACAGAGGGAGTATTTAGTAAAAAGTCCATAGTCAAGCATCAATGTATTATACTTCCTCTATCCGACTATTTTTGTCTCTTTTGCCTTTTTTGTCTGTCCCACCGGTTTTGTGTCATACCAAATTTGGTCATATTTTTGTAGTTCACATTCATTCTTACTTTCTAATATCAATATCAACCACGTAAATTTACTTTTTAACATGTACCATTGTATTTATCACAAAAAGAATGAAAATTCAACAAGATACAAACTCAGCGCACCCATAAATCTCTAACAATCATTTATGCTATATCAGGCCCATGAGGAATATTTGGGCTAGAAGCGAGGGCATATACTTTATTGTTAAGTCTTACCTTAGCTAAAGTGCTAAAGGTAATTTTTTATAACAAATAAAATAATATAAAATGACAAAGTAACACTTTGTTTTAAAAACTATTTCCAGAATTAGTATGCAACCTTTTGAAGTTGTTTTCTATGCTTTACTAAGTGGAGTGCAGATGTCTCCAATTAATAAGATGAAAGTGAACACGAATTTTTTCTAATGTGGTGCTACATCGGAGGTGCTTGCATTTTTGGTAGGAGACTGCATCGAGGCAACACATTAACATGTCAAAAACTGATGCGCTATTGGCTAAAGAGGTTAGGAAATCTGCAAGGAGATTGTACTTTTTATTGGTGTTCAACAAGTGCAATGGCACAAGAAATATCTGAGCTTCAAAACCTACATTGGGAAGACATTGAAATAACCATTTCTTCCGACTAATGATAAAATATGCAGGAACCTAAAAGGGTGGATGGAGAAATTTCATTCATGGTTAGGCAAGGAAGGGCTACTTAAGATTGCAGCCAAAGCCATTCCAAACAATGTTTTGAGCATTTTCAAACTTCCAAATTGCTTTTGTGAAGACATCCAAGGTTGTATCAGATCATTTTGGTGAGGTCATACATGGGGTTGGAGATAGATCCATTGGAGCCTTTGGAGGTGCTGGAACACCCTTTTTCTTGCCAAGGGGGTGGTGGATTGCGCTTTAGAGATCTCAAGGCACTCAATGAAGGCTCTCCTTGGCAAAACAATTAAGGTGATTAACTACTGAGCTATTGTAACTTTGTAGTCACATCCTCCGGACTAGATATTTTCCCAACAATACTATCTTCAAAGCTAAAATGGACCGCAGACCCGGCTATATTTGGCAGATTTTGCATTGGCTATTTTTGGTCTTGAGAAGTGGACTGCATTGGGCGGTAGGTGATGGTTGTTCCATTAAAGCATGGAAGTCACCGTGGACTCCAAGACCTTATACATTCAAAGTTAAAGCACCCACTGAGGAGAATGATCCAAACTTGATGGTGAGCAATTTAATCAATAGAGATTCAGGTAGGAGAGGAGGAATGATCCGTAATCTCCTTTGGCCCATTGATGCAAAATTGATTTTGTTGATCCCCTTTGTCAACTATGGCCAGGTGATACTATTATGTGGCACTTTAAAGGCAATGGGATGTTTATGGTTAACTCTGAAGGGAGGAGATAGGCAATACTAGTTGCCTAGAGCAATAAAAGCAGGAAGAAAATTTGACGCTTGAAAGTTCCTGCAAGAAGCCACATGTATGGATGGAGAGCGCCGGTTCATTCTCTTCCTGGCGCAGCGAAAGAGACGATAAAATATGGAGGGATAAAAACTAGAGCAAAGTAGGACACCAAAGATTTAACGTGGTTCACCCGAAACGTTTGGGCTACATCCACAAACACTTCTATTTCTTCTTCTACTATTACAAACAGTAGCTACAAGTGTTCAATCTCTTCTACTATTACAAATAGTAGGCACACACTTTTTCACTCACTTTCTTTTAGGAAAACATTTCCTAATCACTCACTCTCATCAAAGAAAAACCTTTTCTTTGGAACTTCTATCACTTTTTCCCTCTAAAAAATTGAGAAACTTTTAGTCTCACTCTTTCTCTGTTGAGGTGTGTCGAAACTCGAAACTGTGAAGACTTGGGAAGTAAGTGGATTGGATTGCCATTTAAGGAGGGAAATTATGTGGAGGGTGCTTGAATTGACCTTTTTTGCACAGAAAAACACAACTTCATTAACACCACCAAAACTAAATACAGGAAGTTATCCAAACCCCATTACATCATCTTCCTGTATCTAATATAGCTATGAATATAAAAACAAACAAATTATATAGCCTCCTCTAGTGTACGGCTTTTAAGGTGTACAAGTTTGTTCCTAATTCTCCATATACTGTAAACACATCAAGCCCATATGGCTACAATCTGCATTCGTGTTTTCTTCATTTTGGTCTCCTGCACCATGGCCACCAGGTCCTCAAACTTGGCCAAGTGAACACCAAAGTTGAATCTATTGAAACAGGCAGTGATGATACTTTGCGTAGACGAGCAATCCCAAAATAGATGTTTATCAGTCTCTTCTTCTTGACCACATAGTACACAATCTGTATTAATATTAAGGTATTTGCGCAACCTTACTTTTGTTTGTATCTCCTCCCTCTTAACAGCAGCCAAGTCACAAATTGAAACTTAGGTGGTGTAAGTTTATTCCAAGCATAGTCTTTCCACCTAGGGATTCTCCCTTCTCCTTGTAGCCATTCATAGCCATCCTTAACTCTGTAAGGATTCAGTCTTGGCATGTCTCTAAAGGCTTCTCTCACTTTGATCATTTCTTTCCAATAATGGAAAGAACCCAACCTTGGAGTAAAGTCCCAAAAGTATACTCCTTTTAGATATCTACTATGAATACATCTTACCCATAAGATATGCTTGAATTGACTTGGGAAGAAGAACTTAACTAGATTTTTGCAACTGTTAGCCTGTCCTTTCAACAGAAATGAATTTAATTGCATCAAATTTAGCCTGTCTGGTGTAGCTTAAATATCGAGGGCAACCTTATGGTTGTGAAATACTGAAATCCCCTAAGTATGTTGAATAACAGTAAATTGAATGAAATAAGACTCTTCTTTCCAAAAAAATACTAAGAACTTTCCAAACTAACTTAACCATGTTCAAAAACCAATATATCTCTACAGGTTCACATACCAAACTAACCCTATACAAATGCATACACCAATTTGTTCAAATTTGAAAAGTAATATCATGTTACCCTGATATAATAAAGGTACCTCTTCGAAGAATTGCTGGTCGAGCTCATCTGCAACGCGGATGGAAGCGAGGATGGTGAAAGCAAGCATAGACAGGGGGACAACGAAAGCGAAGATGTAGCTGCTGGTCCCGGCGCGGGTCGATACCGAGATGCCTCTGCTGTTCCATCTCCGCCGCGAGCCAAATTCAAAAGCCGGAGCTCTGGTGCAAATATTAAGAGCAAGAGGAGCGGATAATAGCGGCTGCGGCGGTGGCCGCGACGGTGGATGTACCTTTCTAGAAACGGATAGAATTGGGGAATATAAAAATTTGGAATATGTTATGAAACTTAGGCCCGCCATGGATGGTCACCTTCAAAGCTTCAACCATTCATTGATGACTCCAGGACTTGCCATAGCCAATCCCGTGCAGCACATATATTCCCTCCATTTAATTCTAAACTTGTCCCTAAATTATTTTCTTGATTATCCTTTTTTATAAGTAATTTTGTACTCATTATATTTTTTACTAGTACATTCTACTCGATATCATTTTGGCTTTAAATGAAGGGGTGTATTCAAATAAGATTTTATTGGATTTTTTTAGATTTTTAAATTATAGTGTATTCAATCTTGATTTTTAAAAATTTTTAAAAATTCGAAGGTATTCAATAGAAATTTTTCAAAGTCCTTAAAAATATTGAATTATTCAACTTGGATTTTCAATAGTCTTTAAAAGTTTTAAGGTATTGAAGAGTCTATTAATTTTAATACTCTATGGATTTTGTTTGATTTTCTCTCAAAAAATGCTTAACATTTCACTCCTAAAAATCTCTTCTCACAACCCTGGATTTTTATGGACTTCCATCCGTCCGTCCTCCAGTATCCGTTCGTGCTTAATATTTAATCCCGTCCTCTATGTCTAGTGATCTATTCTGACATTGAATTGACATACAATATGATAATAATAACTATGATTGTAGCATAAGATTCCAACCAGAAACGATATATGCAAACTATGGCCGCAGTAGATACTGACTCTAATTGACAAACGACGCATCCGCAACGACCTCTGGCATTGGTAGTGATGGCTAGAAATATACATGATCATTGTAAAATTAAACTGTTAACCCTTAATAGAACACCAATCAAAAAAGAACTTTGTGTGGAAATGTACCCATAAAGAAAGGCCCACAGACGTAGTATTTGATAATAAATGACTAAATATAAAAAATTCTTGTTATAAAGAATCGAATAGATAATTTACTCATTCTTTATTAACTTAACTAAAGTTGACAAATTATATACGGAGTACTACGTATGTAAAAAATATATAACGAATTACAGAGTAAAATATAAAACTTATGTTATACCCTGTAGCAATATCTTTTTATTAATATATTTGGCCAAATAGCTCCGGTACCCCTTGTGGTTTGGAAAATTGGCACCAATACACTCTCTGTTTTCAAAACTTATTTCTAAAGTCCCCGTGGTTTCAAAACGTTGCACCCACACCCCCTCTGATCATTTTCTGTCCATTTTCGAGCGAAGATGGGGCATTGGCGCATAATTTTTAAACCATAGGGGGCATTCGTGCTCATTTCTTATTTTCGTTTATTATTCTTCCCTTTTTTTAAATATTTTTTATCACTTTTTCCTTTTCCTAGATTTTTTCAAATATATTTTAAATTTTTATAATGTTTCAAAAATTTTCAAATTCTTTGTGTTTGAAATGGAAATAAAAATAAAAAAATTAACATATATTGCATCTATCTCAAATTAAACATTTTCACTCTTTATTACTTAGAATAATTTTTTGGAAAGTTCAAAAAAACAAAGAATAAAAAAATAAAAATATGGAAAAATGAAATATAAAAAATTAAAATACGCAAAAAAAAGTCTTATACAAAAAAATTGGACACGCCTAAAAAAGTCCATAGAATTAAGATGTCCAAAAAGGATATTCATTTTTATTTTTGTATTAATTTGTTTCTTATTTTATTCCTCATTTTTTTGAAGTTCTTAAAAAAATTACTTTTTTTCAGAAAGAACAAAAATTGTTAATTTGAGAAGTACATATGCATTATATGTTATTTTTTTCAAACAAAAATAACTTTAAATTTTAATAAAATTATAAAAATAATTTTAAAAAAAACCTTTATCAATAAATGAAACAAAAAAAGGAAAAAATGGAAAAAACAAAAAATATGCGAGAAATAAAAATCAGCATTGATACTCCCTATGATTTAAAAAATATGCACCAATGCCCCCCTTCTTCGCCGGAAAAATGACCGGAAAATGATCAGAGGGGGCACGGGTGCAACATTTTGAAACCACATGGACTTTAGAAATGAGTTTTGAAAACAGAGGGTGTATTGGTGCCTATTTTGCAAACCACGAGGGGTATCAGCGATATTTGGCCTAAAATATTTTAAGAGATGCAAAGTATTATTTGTTGAACTTGATTTTAAAGTTCACATGTGAAATATAGAGTTTCTTACATTTTTCATAAGGTGATAAGTGGATCTTTTTTATAAAAGGCCTAATTCTTTCGTAGTGTCTATAGCTAAGGTTCATAAAATGATTGTGGACTCAAGGACAACATAAGAATTGTCCTTACTAGTCAAGCATTTAACTAGAAAAACGAACGAGAGTAAAAAAATGGATGAATATATACTCATTCTCAAACTATATATTCATTCAATTCTAGCTACTTCTTCCACCCTCATATATTTTATAATTTTTGATTTATGAAATAGAACCTCATATTTTTAAATAATGGTCGATGAAGAAGTAAAGGTAGGCATGGTCGATGACGACGAGGGGGCAGTGGTGTACTAGGAAGTAGAGGATGGTGGGGGAAGGCAATGGTCGTAATGGTGGTGAAAAGGAAATACAAGAAGAAGAACAGACCGCTTGAGAAGGGGACTAGGGGAATGTAGAAAAAAGAAAATCAATTATGGTCCTATTTTGGTGAAGAGAGTATGTTTTACACTTATTTGGAGTATTTCTCTTTTGTAGCACATGTTATATATTCTAGAGTAGTGAGCAACATTTGCCAATGCAATTCTTCGATATATTTGCACAACATCATGAATCACAAAAAAAGATGTTGAAGTGCAAGGAGAAAATTGTTAGATATTTGCACAACATCACGAATCACAACAAAAGGATGTTGAGCAAGCTTTCAAAGTCTTTCAGCAACTTTTGGCAGCTTGTGTGCCTGAAATGTTTAATGATTGTTTTTATGATGAGGTCCGACGATGTGCCGTAGGCAACTGCCCCTAAGCCTATACTAAAGATAGCCCTGCACCTAAGATATTCAATTATAAGAGAGTTCAACTTCGTGACATGCAAAACATACTTTACAAATAATATTTTATTTTGTTTTTGATATTTCCACTATGCATTGTTGAACATATTTTAATTATGTCATGTCTGCCCCTTGTATCTATTGATATTTTAATTATGCACTTTTGTACAATATTTTTTAGTTATTTAATATAATTTGTCATATTTAAAACTTTTATTTTTATTATTAACCATAGTACCTGGAGTAATACTTTCAGTATGATCCATGTATTGATAATATGGCGAGTGACAATATTGGAATAAAAGAGAGTCCCCCTTTCCTTTTTGCATTTTATGATACAATTTCATTTAGTATGACAAAAAGTATGTGAAGTTTAAAGAGAGCAAAATAGATCCCTCCATAAAGGTTGCTCTCATACATACTCAGAGTTCGTAAATAAATATCTTTGTACGATAACATTGAAAAAAGATTTTGATTCTTCTTGGTAAGATCTGAACCATTTTACCCCTTAAAAAACCTACTACTCCGTATATTTTTTACTCAAAGAGATTCCGTATATTTTGGGACATGTACTGTGCTCCGTTCGTAAAATTAATGATTCTTACCCGTCTTAACTCCCACCCTAGCCCTGCCCGAACCCACCCCCTCAACTGATTCAATTTCATCCTCAAAGTTTTGTTGACTTTGGGCAGTTTGGGGTCAAAAAAATAGACCCCAAAGTCAACAAAACTTTGAAAATGAATTTGAAGGAATTGGGGAGAGGGAGTTCGGGTTTACATGGGATGAGGGGTTCACTGGGGTAAGAATCATCAAATTTACAAACAAAGCATTGTAGATGCTTCGATTGGAGCCAGTGTCATCCGTAGAACCTAGCCATTTTTTATTTGATATGCAATGTAATATTTATTCAATTGATGATTAATGTTTGTCGAGTTTAACGATAAAAAGTCAAACTGAATATATACTCGAAGACGGGGAGAATTAAGAACCAAACGCCACCTAACATACTTGCTAATCCTTTCTCTACCACATGAACTTCGGGTCCTAATATAATCCAAGCGTTATACATATATGTATCTGTCATCTGAACTAGTTTCACAACTATCAAAATGAACATTCTTTGGTACATTATCATACACAGCAGCCTCCAGTCAGTCAGTCTATGCCGCCTTGAAGAAACTTTAAGGCACTGAGGAATTCAATTCATGCTGCTAGGATTGCTTGTTCTTACTCTGTCTATTATCATTTGAATACCGGACAAATCTTGTGCGTAACCAACGACCTGTGACGAAGCACAATTGCCATTGAATAAGTCTGGCCCATGCACATTATTATCATGCCAAACTCAATACAACAGTTCTAGTGCAAAAGAAGATGGAACCTGTGACTCCGTTTGGGGGTCGCTAAATGCATCATAAATGGCAGCGGGTATATCTTCATGAAGAACTTGAGATTCATCTTTTTTATCAAACCTGATAATTAAAAAAGAGTAAAGGAGAGAATTTTACCCCTCTGACCAGTGCAACTGCAGAGTTACGAAGGTTGGCTCTCGACAACCTTCTAACCAATAACAATAACAATAACAATAACAATTCCAATCATAACAATAACTATAGTATTAGTAATAGTAGTAGTTGGCCTTAAAGATCAAATTTACCCTTCCACTTTTAATGGTTAGCTATAAAATCATCACTTACACTATTCACTTTATTTAACACTATTCATCCAATTATTCCATCCAAGGGTAAACGTGAAAAGTCAATGTTTTTTTTCATGTTTCTTTAGCATGTGCGAAACAATTAATTTAATCTGGGGTAGGAACCATTAATTTTACGAACGGAGCACTATAGGTGCCTCAATTGAATTGGTGTCACCACTGGTGTAATAATGTGTTGGTGTAATTTTAACCTTCCTCATATATATATATATATATATATATATATATATATATATATATATAGAGAGAGAGAGAGAGGGAGGGAGTTGGGATTATACTGGATTGTGTGTGTGGGTGTGTGGAGAAATTACCTGTTTGTCCAATGCTGAGACAATCTGAGAGAAGGCTGTTGATCTCCATGATCTTGATCAAGAATTGTACAATCAGATAGGAATAACTATATATTAGTTAAGGACTGCAAGATCAATAAACTAAATAAAACACAATGAAATGAGTATGGCATGGCAAAAGGATACATTTTTGTCACACTCGCTTCTTGATGGAGACTTCTGATTGTGATTCTAATACCAAAAACAATACGAAAAAGATTATTTACAATTTACAAGGATGCCTTTCACAACTATTCCATATGAACAACTGTACCTTGTTTGTGTGCTCTAAACAATCCTCAATCAGGTTAGCGACATCAGACATTATAACACAATCTTTGGTTCTTTCAATCTTCCTATTTTCTGGAGGAATTGCCCCAGATGTAGTAATATCAGTCTGGTTGGATACCAATAATAAAGAACATTTTGTTTTTTCCTCAGTTCTGATCCTTGCCTTCTTGTTTCTACTTGGCGAAGACTGTGTTTCTAACCTTACAGCACTTCTGGCGGTAAAAGCTTCATCGTGCATAGTCTCAAGTTCTTTGGACTCATTCTGAAGCTGGGAGACATCCTCTGATAGCATCTGTGCAGCTTGTGTAGGAAACTGGCTTGCTGTACAAATTGCAGCTTCTTGATTTTCAGAAGTTACTGCTTTTGGATAAAATGGACCTGGAGCAACAACTTTGTTCTGTTGAAGCAATAAAAAGGCACAGGTTTCATAAATGTGAAACAAAGGGTCCAACTAAATGTTTACGAGCAAAAAATAAGGATGGAAATGTCATGGTAGCAGAAGCAAGTGAAAGGGGGAAGCAAACAGCTTACCTGTTTTATACACTCATAAATCCACTCACATGTTACAGGTTGGATACCAAACCTACAAGCAAACTCATACTTTTGGCCACAAGTGAATTTACACAATAAATGTGTTGCCCTTCTAGAAAATTTCTCAGCAAACTTAGCTCCAAGAATAAAGCATAAATTTCTTAGCAGCTTCTTTTCTTTTTCATCGTACTGTGAAACACCCAAACGAAAGCTCTTAAATGCAGGGAAAGGTACTTGACAAGGAAGTGGAGAATAGCAAATGTGACTGCCAACATCTAGCAAGCGCCCATCCTTCATAAAAGCAATTTTCAACTTCATTAGCATTCATTGGCAACTAGGCAAGAAATACAAACACTGAGACTACAAGAAGAGATAATCCATTTAAACATACACATATTACCCCCCATACCCTTTACAAAATTACTAGTCACTTTATCTATCCATGAAAACATAGTGTTGAATGGAAAAAAGAAAAAGGATAACAATAATTAAAATTTAGAAATATACAAAATTAAACTACAAGAAGGTTGTGACACAAAGGGTATCTGTTGTAAAGCTTTACCACTCAGTTTTTTGGGTGAATTTGGTGTTAACTAAGGCTCCGTTTGGAAGTGAGGGAACTGACTTCCGGAAGTCATTTTCCTCATTTTCTGATGTTTGGTTACATTGGGAAATTGGAGTCAATGGAAATTGATTTGTCAAAGAGAAAACCTACCCTAAAATCCAGAATTTGTCTTCCCCATTTGAAGTAAGGATGGCATTTTCCTTCCCAGCGCCGCCTCATCTATCTTCTTCCTTCCTTGCGCCTTCTTCTCCATCATTCTGATTCATCTATTTTCCGTCTTCTTCATTCCCTCTCTTGAATCTTTTTCCTATGGTATGATCTTGTTTCGCTTTCTCTTTTTGGTTGAAATTTCATATGAGAACTCATTATTTTCTTTTGGAGTTTGGAGTTGTTTTATTGCATAAGGGAGCTGTTAAAATAAACAAACATTTTTATCCAATGTTTCTTGCCTTTATTGTTAATGCCACTGCCCACTATCCTTTAAATTAAAAGATATGATGCAATTCATGGAATGCTGAAATCTGAATGTCAAACATCTTTGGAAATTTCACCCCATTTTGATAGATTTCTTAATCTGTAACCCGCTCAGGTCTGCATCCATTCCTCTACTTGGTTGCTTCAAATCTGGTGAAATGTAATTGACTTTTGCAATTGGTAATCTTACATAGGAACTACACTAACATATGCATGACTGCCTGAACTTAGATTAGCTAGCTATCTGTTATGGTTGCACTCTTGATTTCAATATAACATGTGGAGTATAATATTGTGAAACATCTTCCTGTCTGAAAACTATATGATAAAAAATTTAAGACCCGGGTGTGATGTGCCAGACCAAAGAGAAGCTGTCTATAATGTCTAGTTATAATCACCTTCCAGCACTTTTATTTTTACTTCAGTAGATAAAAAAATTTCTTTTACAACCCTTTGAATTTATACCTCAAGTATACAGAGGGGGGATCATAAGTCAGCTTTTAAGAAACAATGAATTCAAAGTGCAATGTGAGCATAAGAATGTCCAGAATTAATTGAAAACTGTGAAAAACACTTGGAGGACGATATGCATGCTACAAGAAAAGAGTCGCTTAGGATGGGATGACAATATAAAGATGATCGCCCAATTCTACGGGATTTTCTGCTAGAATTTTCCCTTTTCTACTGGATTTTCTGCTAGAATCTTCCCTTTTCTGTTGGAATGTTTGAAGAGGCACATCCAAAATATGAAATAATATTGAATAAGAATATTGATTATTACGATGAGATGGCTATAGTAGTGAGAAAGGATGTTGTTATAAGGACATTTGCAAATTGAAATCAAGATGCCCAGATTTGATATGAATGAGATTGAAGACGTACCGCAGATGACTACAACAGCAATACAACAATAACAACCTAGTTCTTGACATTCAAATCACATAGGGGCAACCAGATCTTTGTTTGGCGGATCTTATGCAGCTTACAAAGAACTGGTCTTTTTTGGAAGCAAGGACAATGGGAGGAGATGACCTATTGGGCTCACAATTGGTTTACTGGGACATCATGACATCCTGAACTACGGGTGCTAAATTGGAAGGGCTTTGGGTGCTTTCTTTGCTGATCTTTGTTTTCAGACATTCTGTTTCGTGCTTAGTGCTATCTTTGTTGGCTTTTGTATTTTGATCGCACCATTGTTTTCTTGTTCTGTATTAAATTTTTCTACGAGGGGTTTTGGCTTGGAACTCCACTCTTGTACTTGGTTGTCTTTTTAATAAATTTTCTTTATATGTATATATATACACACACACACACCTAAATATATATGATTAAATAAGAATGATGCTCCATGAAAGAAATGAGAATGCATATAGTCCATTGGATTTGAAATGTAAGGGTTGTAAATTAGTGAAAAATGGAGGAAAATGTTTAAAAAATGAGGTGGCATAATTGTAAATAAGTCAAACTTTCACAAAATACATCACGGCGAACCAAAAATGTATATTTCTCATTTCTCACAATAAGGATCTTTCTCACCGGAACCGGCCCCTAAAATGCCACAACGTTTTTGGAAACAAACACCGGAAAATTTGTGTTGGAAAATGTCTTTTTGTGTTTGTTTCATTTGGAAAATTTGGAAAATGTCTTTTTGTCTTTTTGTGTTTGAAAATTTGGAAAATGTCTTTCTCACTGAAAATGTCTTTCTCACACAAAACGTTTTTGGAAACAAACACCAGAAAATTTTCCAAATGAAAAAAACACAAAAAGACATTTTCCAAATTTTCAGCCAAACACCAGAAAAGAAAAACAACTTTGGGAAAATAAATCATTTTTCAAAAGTCATTTTTCTCCTTTCCAAATGGAGCCTAAATAATTGACACTACAAATTTCATTTCTCTTACCCAAATAAGTTGGGATTGAGTAGGATGGTGGTGTTGGAGATAATCATAACCAGTAAGAAGAATGAATGCATATATAAGTATGTGTCTATAGATTGACATTGACTACTGATAAACCGTTGCAAAAAAGACGATTATACCAAGTTGCATTTTAGTCCATGGAAAAAAGTTTTAAAAAGCCTTCAAATATATCGTCCCAATTTGTCATGCATATTTTCCTTTTAGGTCCATCCCAATATTTTTTGCATGTTTCCATCAATAGAAAGCATTATGTGTTTCATAGTTTTATTCTCCTTTGCATAAATCTCAATTGCGTAGTTTACACTTTATTTACCGTGCCTAAAAAGATTGAGCACAACAAATTCAGAGAGAGGGAGTAAAAAACTTGAAATTGAAAGCAAGGACAACACAATAATAGGTACCTAGAAAAGCTTGACACACAAACCTTACCCCCACCTAGAAAAGCTTGACACACAAATTTTAAGACGACAACACAACATTATTAAGAGACGGTTGTTTCAATAAGATTTTTATATTGCCATTCTACTCACGTCAAACAGGCTGTTAAAGATCTAGAATTTGCATAATAATTAGGTATTTCATTTTCAGGTTCCTAAACAAAAGAATCAAATCTATTTAAACAAGGCAAAACACGTTGAAATATAACTTTTGTTTGCATTATAATAAATACTCCACACTGGATTTTCCCAAAAAGATCAAGTACCTCTAAACAAGACTTGATCCAGTGACTTGAAACATATGTCATACCAGCATCAGTCTGGGAACGCATCACACCATGGCGTTCAATAACAAAATGCACATCTGTTTCAATCTGAGCCTCCACCAACTCCCCTCCCCCTTGATTTACCCACAGTATAATGTCACCTCTCTGTCCATACACAAACAATTTTCATCATGCACACAACGAATGGTGAACACAGCTTGTGAGCAAGAGACAAGAAAAAAAAAGCATCACAAAGGTAAATGTATGAATAATTGCTTTCATGGGATAGACCAAAATGCTTTCTTCACAGTGCAAAAATTAACTGTCATATGCTTTTGGTGGCAGTACAATTCTAGCTTTGCATAGCAAACGAAATCAGCTATCATGGTTTGGCTGAACCAGGGTGTTGATGCACGTTATTATAAAACATTTCACGTAACCACATAAGCAGTATCAGATATTACTAAAAGAGTAAATGTTCAAAACATGTCAAAATAAGTATTAGAACATGAAGCAACAAAAAGAAGCAAAATGGCATGACAATGTGTAGAACTTTCAATTTGAAGTATTGTGTTGGAACTACTAAAGAAAAAGGGAAAAGTCTGTGTCAACAATCTTTGCAATGTAAGGACTATGTTGGCCTTATTCCTTGTCCCCAAAAAAATCATCTTCTAGCCTTTTACCAAGCATATATATGTCTGGTGTTTACTTTGTACATAATGCGGTAGCTAAGAAAGTCCAAACATTCATTGGAATGTAAAAGAATGAAGTGATTACCATGTTTGGTGATCTCTTTTCCCCGAGAAAGTTTGGTCAATGTTCCTTAAAAACAAGGAAAAAAATTTGAACCAAGTGTTGGGCTTGATTCTTTTTCCCATGATAGCTACACTCCCCACTTTCTAAAAAATTTAATAGATGGGAAAGAACCAAACACCTTAAGATCCACAGATGTGGCTGATAAGTGGTTCAAAGGGTGAGCCATATCTTATTGTACACATTAAAGTACTGACCTGATCAGCAGGGAAGCAGCTCGAAAAGCAAAACCGTTTTCCCTTAAAAACAGTCGATGTTTTTTTATCATCAACTGCTCGGTCTGCTCCACTGAGACTTGTGTGCGACTTAGCCTTATCTTTACCATTCAGTGTACAGAACTGAGGTTCGATTTCTATCTGTGAAGATCCTTTGTCATTTATGTTTTCTACTTCTTTACTCTTCTTCAGTGAGTTTCCAGATTCGAAATCCTTGTGGCACTGAACACCTTCACTTGAATTTCCTTGCTTTGCAATAGCATTGCTCACGAAAACACCTTTATTGGATTTAATGTGTTCTGTAGATCAAATAGCCAGTCAACGGTAGAAGCTGAATGCTGATAAAGGCAATCACTAAAGCAAGTTCATGCAAATATCATATTAAAATGCCACCTAAAATTCAATAAATCACTGGAGGATAGAACTCACATGATGGCAGCAACAACGATAACAAATAGAAAAATACAGAGTAATCAAAGTAGCAGACCTCTGGGAAGAAATAAATCACTAGCAATATGCTTCTGAAGCACAGGAACTTCTTTCTTTTGACTTGTACAGTCTGCAAGCCAATCTGGTTTCACCACATGAATTACACCCAAAGCTGAGAGGTTTCTTATTTCTTTGATTTCACTACAAGACAGTTAAATAAAGTCTATGAGAATTGAAATGGTACAAGAGCTAATTATGTAAAAGGTATCAAGACATCAATATTTTTGAAATAACTTATGCACAAAAGGAGTTTAATGAGATAAATAATAGCAGAAACTAAATTTAGAAAAGCTGAAGGGATGAGACAAAAAAATGAAGCAAATGATACACTTGTAAAGTATATTTTCATTATAGAGATGATAACCACCTAATTAATGTGACCAGCTGGTTGCCGGTTGCTATGTAGTATAGCAATTCAGAGAAACAGAGCCTTATAACAACAACCTTTCCATAAGTATTACTCCGTAACTATTAAAAAGATTTTAACCTCAGCAAAAATTTCTATAGAACTTTGATGTCGAGTACCTCAAGTTCTCTTTACTAGAAGTCTAACATATTCTATCATCAACTATCACCTAGAGGATGGGCATAACGACAGCAGGCTTAACTAGCAATAAGTTATGAAAAACACTTACAAAAAGAATAATATGATGAATTATTGAGTATATAATGTAGTATCTTACCAAATAATAAAATAGCAGCGGGAAGAAAACAAATCAGTGTAGAGCTTACCGCTTACAGGGCAAAATTAGCTAGGGTGGGGATATACATTGTGGTAAAAAACTGTAATGAACTAGAAGCAAAAAAAGTGCAGTAAACTAAAAATGCTCCTCTAAGCTAAGTAGACTAAAATATCTCTTACTAACTAATACAGCATTAGTATGATGACTTATTGGGCATATCAGTATATCAGCCTTGCTGTGCTGGTAGTTCATGACATTTTTAGAGTTAAGCACAATTATGTATGTACTGCCATGCACAAAAGGGTTCATAGATCTTACATCTCCGATGGAGATCCAACTATTATGTGTGTCAACTTCTCACTGAAATACATATAACGGGAACCGCCACCTTTACGAACCATATTCACAAGTTTTCGCATTTCAGATGCACTAAAACCAACAATTAGAAGTCTACAATCTGAAAGGTATAAATCATTATCATCTGTTTGAGAGTCACCAGCAACAAATTCACCAGTAAAAGCATCATAATTTTGGTTCTCGATGGGATGATCATTTCTTTCCTCTTTGGAAAACAAGGGTTCCTCTGAAAATGAAGGTGCGTTCTGAAAAAAGGTGCCCCCCATGTCTGAATCCACAGCATGTCCAAATGAAACAGCTTCAGAATTTGATACTGTTGCAGTGGAGGAAAAACTTTGCACGCTTTGAATACCACTCTCTAAGCTGTGTTGGTTTTTCATTCTTGCAGCATTCCTAGTTGATGCAGAACTACCCTGAATGTGATAGGACTCCTCATTAAGGCATGCTATTCATTGCAAAGAGGATAAAGTGTCAGTTGCAGCAGCTATAAAATCTCACTGAAGGATGGAACTAAAAAACAATAGAGTAAAGACTCGGCTTCAACTAACAAAAAAGAGTACCTCTTTTAGCAACAGATTGGTCAAGCCACTTCTTGCTAACTATGTGTATGCTACCCCAGGTCTTGGCAACAGTGTATTTTTCTCCTTTAGGGGCTTATCAACAGTCAAGAAAACAAATATGTCTGATGCTAAGCAGATTCAATGCATGTGCACCTTCTAAATGCTAGGATTAAACGTGTTTGAACATAGAAAAGGGGGAAAATAAATAAAATAGTTAAATACATGTTTGTTAGAGCCTTCTCTCATCAAGCACATCTTCATCACAATGGGAGCGGAAAGACTATACATGAGCGGTGTGGTTGGGGGATGTAGAGAGGCAATTAATTACTAACTTACTGAAAATATCCCAACCAGAGAGAAAGGTAACCTGGGGCAATTACAGATATTGTTAACAACAGCAGCAAACACAGCTAAACCCCTCAAATGGGGTCTGGGGAGAGTAGGATGTACGCATACCTTACCTCCACCCATCAAGGGTTGAGAGGCTGCTTCCAATAGACTCTCATTGTTACAGTTATATTGTTAGGCATCTATATTCCAATTGATGCAAATTATTCTGCATACTTCTGATTGTTCATATTTGATGCAAAAGGATCTCACTCCAAGAAGGTTACAGACAATGTAGTACAATTAACTGATGGTAGAAGATAAATAATGCATATAAAAAGGATATATCACAAATTAAATGTGTGCAACTTTTAGTCAGTTCAGGAGAATATTTGCCTCCATTCTGTATGACAATACTTTCCACCTCCTTCCTCTCATCTGAAACAGGATGCTTGGATTTCAAAAATGTTTTAAGAAAGTCACTTTTAATGATTGATTCTCAAACCTGCAGGGATCCTGGTAACACTAATGGTTAGCCCAGAAAAAGGTTGGACCCTGAATGACTCTGGAGCAAGAAAGTGATGCTCCTTCCAACATTGGTGTAGCCAAGTAATACTAACAATCGATTTCTTCCATATGTTTACTGCCCACTGCAAATGTACCACATAAAGGAGAATGAAAAAATTTACCACTGCAAAGAAACAATATACTCCGTATTATGAGATTCATGAAGAAATGTATGTGGTAGTTATGATATGGGGGGAAATAATATAATGGAGCCTTAAGCTCAAGGTTAACATACATGTAGCACAGTTCAGACAAGGGTGAATGCAAAAATAAATAAATTGCCACATAGAAGACTTTTAATAAGGCTGCACTTGCAGCCACTGGGCAAAAGTCCCTGTGAAGACATAGGTCAAGATGAGTAAAAATAAGAGGGATGGGAAGCTATGGTGGGGAAAAGCACTTCTTGTTATAGGAATCGAAGAAGCAAGGTAAGGTTGCCACTTTACCTTGTCAAACTGTGCACAAGTTAAGACCTAAGTCACCTAACATGATACTCCTTATGTTTCTTTTTACTTGGCCCATTCGCTATTCATGAAGTCAAACTTTATCCTCTTGTCGGGGTGTGCTTCTTGGCATGGTGTTTTTTCTTTCACTGCGTTTTTCTTTCATCGCATTTTTCTTTCTTTACCCTAAACTTGCTTTGTGCTCCTTTTGTGTGCTCTATGCTTTCTATGCATTATGTGTTTCACGAGCTGGGGTCTCTCTTGGAAATAGCATCTATACTTTTGAGTAGAGGCAAGGTCTGCATACATATATCCTCCCCAGACACTATTCTAGTGGGATTCTTGTTGTTTCGTTTCACCGTTTATAAAATAATATCGTCATGTAGCCTCTTATTTTGTAAACTTTTGACGTAACTTTTAAATATGTAACGTTTTTTTTTGTTTTACACCACTTTTCAAGTAAGTAAATTCAAAGTAACATCATTCAAACATTGTAAACCGAAATGGGTAGATAAAATGAAACAAGAGTATGTTATTATTGCAATTAGACATCCATGTAGGTGCTACACAAAAGAGTCGTTGAAAAGCAAACAATAGAATCCCAAAACAACAACAACCAGCCCAGTAAAATCCCATAAATGAGGTATGGGGGAGGGGGGTACGAAGACCTTACCTCTACCTAGAAAAGGTAAAGAGACTCTTTCTAAAACACCCTCTTACTCAAGCAATAAAGGCACAAGAAGCACAAAAGAGCATGCAAAGCACAAAGTGAGAACAATCCATTAGTTAAAGGGAAATTAAAAGAGAAACAAAAACCAAACAAAATGTCACCATATAACTAATCCTAAAGGCCCTACACACCGGAACCACTTTTATATAGGCCTATCCTACAAATTTAAGCTTTTACATCCAACTCCAAGTTTTGCCATCTAAGGCCATGTCCTCCATGAGCTTCAGAAGGCACAAATCTTGTCTAATTGCCACACTCCAACTCGTCAAATTCTGAAGACCAAACAAGATGTCACCATATAACTAATCCTGAAGGCACAACACACCAGAACCACTCCTATATAGGCCTACCCTACAAATTTAATCTTTTGCATCCAAGTTGTCCCATTTAAGGCCATGCCGAAGGCCAAACAAGATGTCACCATATAACTAATCCTAAAGGCCCAACACACCGGAACCACTCCTATACAGGCCTATCCTACAAATTTAATCTTTTACATCCAAGTTGTCCCATTTAAGGCCATGCCCTCCATGAGCTTCAAAAGGCGCAAATCTTGTCTAATCGGCACACTCCAACTCGTCAAATTCCCCATCAAACAATAGAATCCCAAACTAGTACAACAATGTCAACCAACAACTTAGCTAAATTGAAATACCAACAGTAGAAGGAATAAGACTATAGCTAATATTTATGGATCCCTTTTGATGTGGGCCCGGTCTAGCAGTGTGGCTTGTGACTGCCAGGATAGCCTTCCCATAAGCAACGTCAACATCACCACTCCTCCCGTGTACCAAGAGCTTGCCTGCAAGCTTGAAATAAAGAATTGTCTCGACAAAGACTCCAACTCTTACAACCTAACTTCCTTCCTAGACAGGTCTATCCCTAAAATAGCACCTTTCCCCCTTCAAATGAACATGATTGAAGGTAGAAGGCCAAAGAAAAAGCCAATCTGGAGTCACACAAACAAAAAAGTTTCCTTGAAAAACAAATCACAAATAATTTATCACGCCAAAGATGACAGAATCATGCAAGCCATGATGATGGAAATTTTTGGCAAAGAACGGATCAGTCAAAGTATTAAAATGAGCGTATTTGGAAAGCCAGACATGTATGGAGTAGTGAACTACCACCAAAGCAACCGATATTCATTCCACCTTCAGCAGCCCTTCAACAAAGTGCATGGAGATGGGTGATGGTCCTTTTGAGCATGTATGGAGTTTCAAACTAATACTCCCTCCGTCCATAAATAAAGTTCTCACTTTCCTTTTTCGTCCGTCCAAAAATAAAGTTCCCATTTCTATTTTTGGAAAGTTTTTTACACTAAAAAGTCTAAATTACCCTCCCACCCAATCCTTATCCTTTCTTTTTCTTTTTCCTTCTCCCTCCATCTCCTTTCCCATCCGTCACTTTTTCTCTTCTTTTCTCTCTTCTTCTACTCTATTTTCTTTTCATCATCTCGTTCTTCTTTCTTCTTCTTTTATTTCTTTCTTCTTCTTTGCTCTTCTGATCTCTTTCTTCTTCTTTTATTTCTTTCTTCTTCTTTGCTCTTCTGATTTTTTCCTGAAAACTGAGAGCAGCAAAGCAATGATCGGGGTAAAGGTGGGGCAACGAGGCGGTGGCGGTGGTCGGAGGTGAAAGGGCCGTCCGATCTCTTCTTCTTCTTCTTCAATTCCCGTGGTCCCATGCACATGCCAATCCATCTTCAACTCTTCTTTCTTTTCTTCTTTATTGTCCAACTCCATCAGATCTGAGAAATTTGATTCAGATCTGAGGTCATCGTCAATAAATTCGGCAGTGGCAACAGAGTACAGGCGCCGGAGTGAGGCGGCGGTCGGAGTTGACGTGGTAGACATCACGACGGCCGTCGGTGATAATAGCAGAGCAGCAATGAGGGTCGGCCTTGTTGGGGGGGGCATCCGATTGCACAGAGAAGAAAAGGTTCGGCCTTTGCACAGAGAAGAAAATGGGTGGACAAGAAAAGAAGAGAAAGGATGATGGATAGAGGGGTAATCTAGGAAAGTCAATGTAAATTTCATCTTTTATTAAACTCCGTGCCAAGTCAAAGTGAGAACTTTAATCTTGGACGGAGGGAGTATTAATGCCCACTGGTAACTTAATTAAACTGAAATGCCAAAACAAAAAGGAATAAGGCTTCGGTTCATTATTAGGAATCTCTTTTGGTGTAGATTTGATCTAGCTATGTGGCTTATGACGGCGGTGGTGGCTATTCCAGTAAATGATGTCCGCACCAACTTTAAGATATGTTGGGTACCAAATAGTTAGGCAACAAGCCACACCACTCAAAATGGAGAACTGGTCCTTGCAGTATAGCTCAAGAACCATCTAGATCATTAAACCGTCAAGTGACATAACATCAATAAACTTTCCACAAATTCCATAGTTTCCCAATTTCACTATTTGTCAAGTTTGTCAACTTGTATAACCGATGTCAACACTTTCAAATGTGGTTCTCTAACAACCCTTAACCAAGAATTAGTAATATATCATCAGATTCCAGATAATTTTTCATCACCACGTAAAGTTATTTCCTAACTTGTCTTTTCTGCTGTCCAATTAAACCACAAACTATGTATGTTGTGATATTTCCTATAAATAATACTGAGTAATGGTAAAATTTAGTAGGGGTTTTCATAACTCCCATTGTTTGTTGCCTGCATCTCTGCAGTTTCTTTACTCATCCCCTAATTGCCAGACAGGTATAAAACATTCCTCAAGCCTGACTGTAAATGTCAGTATGAGAAAGAGGATAACTACAGTTCAGTCAGTTCTTTTGCACTCATATATTTTCACAAGTGGTGGCGTATCTAGTCCAATCTAGTGCCAAAGTCATGATGTAGTGTGTAGTACAAACTAGATTAGACAATATGAGAAAAAAGTGAGGATGTAGATTATATGTGAACTGAGAAACATGCCTCACATGCAAAACTATTTCATCAAAGACGACTATAAATGGTTTTTTTAAAAATAAAAAATAAAAAACAAATGGATTTCACTAGCAAAAAAAACAGCAAAAATCAATACCCAGTATTTTGCAGCCAAAACATTCTTCACAATAACAATGTTAACATCCATTGATGCTTTTTCTTGAAAAACGCCTCCCATTGCTTTCACTAGCTTTCTGATTTTTAACTGCATGTTGTATACAATGAAGAAGATAATAACCTTGAACCCAATTGAAGGGGAAGTTAGAAGGTATATTGTGGAGAGAAAAAAAGATGGAGTGAAAATGACACCCATAGTTCACTGCAATTAAACAAGGAAATGTGTGTCCCAGCTATTTAGTCAAATACTAGTGACGCACTCAGCGTACCTTTTCATCCACAGCAAAACCAGATGCCAGTACTTTGACACCTTCCATTGCAAAACAACATGTAAATCCTTTACTGGGGAGTTTCCTGCATTCATTCGCACAGAAACGAATACAACGAGGACCTGGCCCAGAAGGGGGGAGAGAATATTCGTTAAAGATCAATGTATGGTAGACCATATCAGAGACAAGAAGACGAATTACCTATCAAATTACAGCCTTTTGACAGGAGATCCTCGAATTTCTCCTGCAATTGGAGAATGGAAACTGGGTAAGCCACAACTGGGGAACACCAAGGGGAAATCCGTACGGATTCGATTCAAAATCAAAATGGTACTGAGGAGAATTACATGATCCATTGAGGAGATGACATGGAAGTCATAGGGGCCGTTTCGGGACGGATCGCAGCAGAGGAAGACCTGAGCTCCGTTGCGCTTGAGTGTATCGTGAAGCGCATCGAAGTCCTCCGGCGGAACCAGATTCCGCGACATGAAGACGTTAGCTCCCTTGAACACCGTCGAATTCATCGTCTTCCACTCACTCCTTCGTCTTCTTCACTTCACCAAGAGGACTCCCGTTTTTAGTTTTGCAGGACACGGAAATCAAGAAATGTGCGGACACTAGGGAATCTAATGACTGATTTGAAATAGGGAAATTTCCCTTTAGGTTTTTGCGCGGGAACGGAAGCAATGGATTATGTTCTTTGAATGGGCTTGAGGCTTTGTTCAGTTCAACTTATTTTTTTTAATCTGATATGATATTTTGTAGTTTAGATCTGATCTGATTTGATTAGATTTGATCTGATTGGATCTGATCTAATTGGATCTGATCTGATCTCATTTGATTGGATCTGATCTCATTAATTATGATTTGATTTAAAATTCAAATCAATAATTTGATTTGAGGTTATAATAACGTTTGAAAATTGTAATGATAGTTCATATTATAATATAATCAATATTTTTTATTTTATAATTATTTTTTAATAAAATAAAATTAGTTAATTTATATATTAGAATAATCATTCATATTTTAATGTAATAATATTTTTTAAATTATGATTATTGTTTGTGAAATAAGAATATTGATTTAATATTTTAAATATTAGTTCATACATACATTAGAATAAATATTTAATTTATATAAAATCAATACAGAGAAGAGATAGTATTTTTATTAAAATATTTCATCCTTATAAAAGATCAAAACTTTAGAAACTCAAATTACAGGTAGCAATAAAAATATATTTTAAAATTATTATTAGATTGACATTGTCAATGTATTTTAAAACTAATTTTTTCGACGTCTAATAAATAAGAATTAATTTCTCAATTTTCTATTTAACTTGTTTCTAAAGTTTATTCTTTTTCATTTTTAAAAAGAAGAAGAAGAAGAAGAAGAAGAATAATAATAATAATAATAATAATAATAATAATAATAATAATAATAAGAACAACAACAACAACAATAATAATAATAATAATTCTTTATGGGATCTGATCTGATCTGATTGAATCTGATCTGATCTGATTTGTTCTGATCTGATTCGATCTGATCTGATCTGGTCTGATCTGATCTAATTTTAATAAGAATAAGAAAAAATAAATTGAACGCAACAGGGCCTTATTCCTACCTCTGTCCAGTGCATCAATCAAATACACCTTCTCTCGTGAAATTTTTTTTAAATTAGTATAAAAATAATTTAGTTAGATTTATCTTATAAAAATTTTATTTTCTTAGAAAGGCCAAAATTGGCCCTACTTATGCCATCTTTTGAGTAATGTTTGCCCTAAGTTGTTGATTCAATATAGAGAGATTTGCAATTTTTTAGTCTTATACCAACTATCTGAAAAATTATATATTGTAATTTGTTCGTCCGATCTGATTTTATAAAGCTTGAGCTTAATTTGATTTGCTTGGATATGATTATATTAATATTTAAAATTGTTTCTGATATGATCTCATTTGATTTGATCTAATCTGATTAGATCTGATATATCTTGATCTGAAATGATTTTAATATAGTAATAACTAATAAGTAGTAATAAGCTAAAAATTAAGTTAAACGAAACAACCCGTAAATAGTGTAAATAAAAAGTTCGGATATAGAGGGTGTTTGAGAATCCATTTAAAAATATTAACCTATTGCTTCTACTCTGCGTACTGAAACACAATTTTTAATACTTTGTATTCCGTATTTGGTAATTTGATTTAGTATATGCATTATGGCTTTACAAGTAGAAATTAATGTCAAGAAATATTTTCCAGCAAAATTAAAAAAAATTGTTAAATTTATTTTCCGCTTCTAACTTATGAGTTCTACTTTTTCATTACGCTCTACACCCCAATACACTATGTTAACTGTGTTGCAGATTGTCTCGATAAATGAATTGTATTCCCTCCGTTCCATTTTATAACGTCTGTTTTGGTTTACGATGTTTGACTGAAATTATTTTCAAACCATTTTATATGACAAATGGTATAAAATTAAAAAATAAAAATTACATATTAAAAAACTACATCAAAAGATCTACAAAACTAGTAGTGACAATAGTATTTTATTTTATCAAATTGCTATCGAAAATAGAGAAAGAAAGTGTATGAAATTTGACCATGTGAATAATGAACAGACATTATAATTTGGGACGGAGGAAGTCGAAATGCTTGTACAACAGTTTTTCTTATGCCGCCAATGAAAGGAAGACTGGTAGGGTGATGTAATCCACTTCCAATAATAATTGAATTACAAAATGACTTTCCTATCATATTTCCTGATCATTTTTTAACATTCTCAGATGACTTTTCTATTATTTAAGAGACGTCAAGGCACTAAATAAATAATGGTATTGAATTTGAGCTTTTTAGTCAACATCTATGGGCAAGAAATATTGAAATCCATTTGATTAATTTTAGAAATATGATATGAGTTCTTAAATCTAAAAGAAATGATATATTATCTGAAATATTTCTTTCTGAAAAATTCAAAATCATGATTTAAGTAGTAATAAGCAATAAAGGTCAACTACAAAGAGTGACAACAGTAGCTAGGGTTGGGCACGGATCGGGACGGTCCGGATTTTAGGTTGTCCCACGTCTTGTCCCGTTATATATAAAAGGTCCGGAACAGTTCGGATTACAATCTAATCCCGGTTTGTCCCATAAAATTCAGGATCGAAACAAAACGGGACAAATTCGGGTCGTCCTACTTTGTCCTAATCGCAAATATAAGAAGGGGAAGAGGGTGACATTTCATTTTAAAAAAAGAAACATCTAGCCATCCAACAAAAAACAATGAGTGGAACGGGTCCAAATAAATTTCAAGCTCATGAAGCTAATTTAATAAAATAACTAATTAATTAAAGAATGAGTGTATTTGGATTCTGGACTAGAATTAGTATTATATATTAGTAGAGTAGATGAAACGGGACAAACGGGACGGATCAGTATAAATTTAAGCTGTCCCGCTCATGTCTCATTTGATATTGGGACGGAACGGGTTCGGGACAAAAAAATTGTGTCCCAATATATCGGTACAATTACAAAACGGATCCAGGATTTTTCGGGACGATCCAACGGGAACGGATTTCACGCCCACCCCTAGCGGTAGCTGGTGGCGGATGGTGGTTAATGGAGATATCAAACTTCAATCTTGCTATTTCCCAAATTCAAAAGATATCAAAACCCTACATTTGAAGGATATATGGAGATATCGAATCTAAAATTCATTTTGTCGTTGCCAAACACAAGAAAAGGGCACATTCTAATACAAGAACCAATATCTTCTTTTAGCTCACCGGGCCCTTGCAGAATAATATTTTGTACTCTGTATTTTGTTTTCTGGGCTTTTACACCAAAATACATTGAAAGAACTAAAATATTGTGGAAGACAACTTGTCAAGTATCATCGAGAAACTTCATCATTTGGACGCTGCTTGTCATCTTCGTAAATTCAAACCACTTTGGCTATCCTTGAGGCTCTGCAAATTAAAAATTACAAGTAAAAAACAAGATTAGAAGTTTCATTTACAGGAAAGCTTAAGATAGCCAGCCATAAGAATATGAATGAGCTGAATGTCACACCAATTGTTTAAAGGACGTGTTTGGCGAAAGACTTCTGTTTGGCTTTTCCGCATCTGGCTTAGCTCGGTCAAGAGCCTGAAGCAGGTGATCAAACACAAACTGAGAACTGCTATGGATATCACAATAAGGTCCAAACACTGCAACAAATGCCACATGATGTTCTTTCTACCCATCCCGAGATGATAAAAAAACATGACCCTAAACAACTGCCCAAAACTTTGCTAGAAAATTGTTTTTTTTATTCAATCATCATCCTGATGATAAGCAAACTATTTAAGAGTATAGAATGAATGGTTTTGCGCACAACACATGCCCAGATATTGTTGTTCTAAACTGTGCATGGAATAATGACAGAGGTTAAGTACACAAGGGAGAGTTACTTGTATAAGTGATTCCACCCGACGCCTCATCCGAGTATGCATGAAACCCTCTGAACACTGTTTACAAGACAAGCTAAAAATGTTAAGAATGGAGGAACAACGAAGCATGGTGGGAATGCAAATACCTTCTAGCACACTTTGCATAGAATGAATATACATACATACATAGATACATACGTACATACATAGAGGCAGTTAACTTGTTTAATCACACTATGAAGGTCTGAGAACGAATAATTGAGGCTAGACTGAGAAAAGAGGTGAACGTCTCCGAGAATCAATTTAGTTTCATGCTTGGTCCGTCAATCACTTTGGTCACTCATCTCCTGATGGAGTAATATAGGAACAAGAAAAGGGACCAACACATGGTGTTTATTGACTTGGAGAAGGTATATGGTAGGATTCCTAGGGAGATCTTGTGGAGATGCTTAGAGTACCGACCAGTTGCTTACATCAGTGCTATCAAGGACATGTATGATGGGGTGAGGACCAGAGTGCGGTAATTAGGAGATGGGTCTGACACTTCCTCATGGGGGTGGGGTTACATCAGAAGTTTGCCCTTAGCTCGTTCTTGTTTGCTTTAGCCATGGATGTTCTGACACGACATAGTACCTTGATGCATGTTGTTTGCAGATGACATTCTTGTGATTGACGAGACACGTGAGGGACTCAATGGTAGGTTAGACATGTGGAGATAGACCTTGAAATCCAAAAAATTCATATTGAGCATGACAAAGATCGAGAACATGAAACGTTGCTTCAGTGATAGGACAAGTTGGAGTGGATGTGAGGATTGTTTCGCATCTGGTGCCTAGGAGGACAAGTTTATATACTTGGGATCAACCATTATTCAAGCCTATGGGAAGATAGATGAGGATGTTGTTCATCATATGAGAGCCGCTTGGACTAAGGGTATGTTTGGTTGGAGGTAGGTAAAAGTTTTATTAGGTAGGTAATGGTAGGTAATTGGAGGTAGTTAATTGAAGGTAGGTAAAGTAAGGTAATGAGTTAAAAAATTGTGTTTGGATGTTTATTAGGTAACGTGAGGTAGGAAAAGAATAAAATTACTACAATATCCTTATGGTTGTTTTTCTTTATTTGTTTAGGATGTATTTATATGAAATTATCTTTCGGGTAAAAAGATTTATTCAAATTAAAGAAAAAATTAGTATGGACTAAATGTATAAGATGAATCTGAAATAGAATTATAGAAAAAATTAGTATGGACTCAATCTAATAGAATTATAGAAAACGTAGTACTAAAAAATGCACAATGGTAGAAAAAAACAGGAAAAAAACCCAGAAAAAAGCACAAAAAAAAGAACAGAAAAAAACCAAAAAAAAACAGAAAAAAAGATGAGAAATGAAAACTGAAAAAAGGGGAAACAAAAAAAACGGAAAAAGTGAAAGAAAGCTGGAAACTGAAAAAAAGTGCAAATTGTAGTATGCAGAGGAAATTAAAATCTGGAAATTGAAATTTGAAAAAAGTGAAAATTGACAGCAGAACGAAATAAGTGAAAAAAACAATCTGGAAATTGAAAAAAAAAAGTGAAAATTGAAGTGCAAAAAAAGTGAGGAGATGGCTATAGAAATTGAAGAGCATAGCAGAACAAAAAAAGAACGGAGTATGTAAAGCTTATCTGAATTGAGCAGCGAAGGAGCAGATGGCGATTGAAATTGAAACAAAAAAAACTAACTACGCAGCGGAATTGAAGATTATGGCGGAGCAGAGCAGATCGAAAAAAAAGTGAACATTGAACCGGAAGAAGATGACGATCAGAATACCTTTGGCGATCGGAACCGGAAGAAGATGGCGATGGCGATGGGAAGATGCCGATTGATTTTCGTGCGATTGGGTGAAGGGTAGCGGATAGTTTATTACCTTGATATTTTGCCAAATTGGCGGCCATCTAAAATGTACGGTTGAGAGGTAACCTTACCTCCCTCTACCTCCCCCTACCTCACTTGACATATCTCAATTTTTGTTACCAAACAAGGTAGAATATTAAATCTACCTCCCTCTACCTCCTCCTACCTCCAAACAAACACAGTGTAAGTGGAAACATGCTCTAGGTATCCTTTGTGACAAGAGGATTAAACCTGAAAGGGAAGTTTTATTGGGCAGTGGTCAGGCTATGTTGTATGAGGCAATGGGGCAAAAAGTTGGGCGGTGAAGGGCGTTCACGTTCAGAAGCTACGAGGAGCAGAGGTGGATGTGTACAAATGAGATCCAGAATGAGGATATTTGGGGGAGGCTGAGACTGGCCCCTATGGGGATAAATTAAATGAAGCTAGACTGAAATGGTTTGGCCATGTACTTGTGAATTGTGAGAACTTGTGGCAGGGGCATTAGGAAGGGTAGAGGTAGACCTAAGAAGAATTGGAAGGAGTGATTAGATAGGACTTACAACTTCATGATTCACCAAAGATATGGTCTTGGAGAGGGTGTCTCGAGGTCTAGGAATAGGGTGGTAGGATAGACCTTTGTACCTTTGTTCGCAGACAAAATGGAGACCAGAATAGGATAGGGATAACAGTTGAAGCACAAAATACAAATCTACAAATGGACAAAGTATAATTCTACCCTCTTGAAAAACACATAAAAGCCAAAGCAAAAGGAAGTGATCATGCAACTATGCAACTGAAGCAATGTGAAAATAAAAAGAAATAAATCACTTTGAAAGGCAATCAACCTACCTTAACATTATAATTTACATAAGCATGGAAGGTTGAGAGATTCCAGACAGTTCTATCCAGTTTCATTCCTTCCACATGACGAGGTAAAATGACTGATGACAAAAAAAACATGAACATATGTCACTGCAATAAAGGGGTATGTATGAAAGAAGAAAACTCAAAAGCCTGGCATTACCGAAACTGAAATATCCAGCATTAGCTGGCAAATCCGTGTTAACCATACCCTGCAGCTCTTGAGGAAGAGATGGAGACCAAAAGCAGGGAGGGGCATTGTTTAGTCCAGCAGTTCGCCTTGCCTCCACAAATTCCTAATGATATGTTGTTAACCGGGTAGTGATTTTCCGAAATGTGCTGTTCGGTTACATACACATGTGTGTATGCACACAAAAAGAAAACTATATTCTACAGAGTACGTGTTGAGTAAGTACATGACACTAAATTGAAGGTGAAACGGAGCATGACTTGGTCAAATTGACCAACCCTCCATTGGAATTATATAACATAGAGGAAATGAAGTTGTTGAACCATATCACACACTTACTTGAAGGAAAGACGTTGCCAGAATGGCATCTATAGAGTCATTGAATCTCATAGGAAAGATGGTAGTTACTTTGTCTGCCTGCAGCAAAAAGTTCCAAAAACTACAATTTAACATAAAAACATCGACTAAATTCTTCCTGACTTATAATGACATAATTATATGAAGAGAGAGAAATACTAATTTGAGAGTGTTATAAGCAAGATGTACTACCTAAGAGGTCTGAAGCAAAACTGTAGAGTAACCTATTTATATTTGATTAATAAAAATTTAAAATGTGTATACTGCCAAGTGCATTCCAGACCAAGGTTATTTATTCTGTATCGTACTGCCAGTATTTTGGTGGTACACCAGTATGAATGAAAGTCCGGTATTGTACCAGTTAAAGTCCAGTCTGTACCGGCCATACCGGCCAAAATTCCCGTATGGTTAATCTTTCCTTTCATTTTATTCATAATATTAACTTAACTTTTTATAATTTAAATTGATAATACCTATATAATCTTGTGTTTACTTTTCAACACCATTTAAGACATTTAACCATTTTGATTTTATATTATGCATTACAAATATGTTGGCACATATAACCAAATCAGAAGTTCAAATTTGTGTTTAAAAATGTTGTTTTGTTCTTATTTGATATGTTTATTATGAACATTTATCTATTGTATGTTTTTACTGTAATGGAAATGTTTTTAAGCGTTAACTACTCCATAATAGGTATTTTCATTGAAATTGAACAAGAGCTTACCCTATTTAAAAGTCCAAATATGAAAAGCCTGGTAGGATCAGTGCATACCGATCCAGTTCAAAACTAGTACCAGAGCCCGTACAATATTTATAAGCTTGTTCAAGACGGCCTGACCATAAAGCTTTTTACTTTAAAGATTTGGGAAATAAAATAAGAATCATTATTACAACTATTCTTACAATTATTATTATTATTATTATTATTACTACATAGTATTATTTATCAATGTCAATAAAATAATAAAGAAATTGAAAGGAATGGCACAATTTATCAAAATAATAATTTATGATATAAGTTTGCAAATTTTTGTAGACAATCCACAAAATTATGAAAATAAAAAGGTTTAGGTTGGCCATAAGCTTTTGGTTACGTAAATTCTAATTCATCTTAACATAATATAGTATATTAGATTATTTTGCAATTTATTATTTCTCCTCTAATATTACATAAATATGTTTACTTCCCTATAAAAGCTAAAAATAGCTCAATTTTTGTAAATCCATAACTAATGTACTCCCTCCGTCCCACAAGGCCTTTCTGGTTTTGACTTTAAAAGGATTTAAGGGGAGTGTATTTTGGTGTTGACATTCCAAAAATGCTCTTGGATGTGATTGGTAATAGTAGGATGTGATGTATAGGTTAATAGTGAAAAAGTCTGATGTGATAGGTAAGTTAAGAATTAATAGGGGTAAAAGTGACTTCTTAATAGAAATGAGAAAAGTTTTTTGGGACGGATGAAAAAAAGGAGAAAAGTTTTGTGGGACGGAGGAAGTATAACAATTGGGTCTGTTGATTCTGTTCCCCGGCCCCTGTGCTTGGCCATCCCCAAACAAGGTTTCATTGATCATCATAAAGCAAAATGGTTCAAAGATACCAAACAATGGATAAGAAATGCATGTATCAGCATGAGAAACATCTAGAGACATATATGTTCTAGAAGTATATATTACAAAATGAAAGTTTACTGAACACAGAACCAGAGGTTTCACCTGGGGTAAGAGGAAAAAAGACTCATTTGGACGATGAACCAGGGCAATAATATTTTCTGAATCAGATGGAACTGTCCTCAAAGCTAGATCATTCAAAATTGCTCTTAATGGGGCCCCCATTACAACTTCCCGTACAGATGCAAGACTTACTAGTAAGTCATGCTTGTGAGCTACACTCAGCAAAGATAAACTTCAGAAATGGGCAAATACAATAAATAACATGAACTATTAATTATGAATGTAAGGGTTTGAGAATTTATAGCATCTTCAAATTACTTATGAATCATTTATCAAGGCATTACACATATGTTTTGGAAATGCAAGTTAGTGGTGATTCCAGAATTGTGTACTTGTGTACCTTATGCCCCCTAGGGTCTAAATACATTATTAGGCACACATGAAAACTATGAATAGGCACACATGATAATTTTCCTTTTTTATATAAAACTTTTTATGTTGAATTTATCCCATAACATTTAGGCTTCACACTATCAATCACAATTCTATGTTTTATCGCATTGCAAAAAACATATTTACTCCTTGGACTCTACACTTGAGTGGGATTTACTGGGTTTATGTGTTTTAGGTTTATAAGTTTATTGCTTTTTTGGACTGTTCTTTATCCTGCATATGATAGAAGTAAATAACAACAATAATAAACCCAGTGTAATCCCAACTCCATTTGGGTCTGTGGACCACACCCAGTAAATTTGCATAGAGTATAGTCGGGGGAGGGTGTGTATATGCAGACCATACCCTTACTCAGAGAGTAAATATACTGTTTCAAGGAGACCGTCAGCTCAAAATACATTATAATAGAGGCAGAATGGCAGATAATAGAAGTATTAAACCAAAATTTACTGACTTTTAGCCAATGCAAAAGATATTTGTGGGGGACACCTATAGCACAATTATGACAAGCCATAAGTCATAATGACCTTAAAGAAGAGACTTGTAGAACCTTCTTCTTGAGGAAGTTTGGACAAGTTCAGTTTCAACGTGAGATTAAAGCCATCTCTCGGGGGATCAAGGATCTGCGCAACCACACCATAGGTAGCTTTTATGGCTTCTATTGCTCCAAGTGGAAGTCCTCCAAAGAATTCAGTTTCAGGAGGAGGTATTGGTAAGGACATTGAAAGTAGCAAGATATTTGAATTCCTCGTTGAAGCCTGCAGAATCATTCATTCATTACACCTTCAACACCACACCACATGTGTGCAATTTTTTTGTCTTAATAGTCTACACGAACTCCAATCAATGAGCTCATAATACAATTAGACAGAGCTATGGGGCTCTTCTAAAAGAAGACCGGTCCGCAACTCACCTGAATGTGGAACCGAATATCATCAAACTCAACCCATTGACAATCAAGCTCAACACCCTTATCAAGACTGCAGAATCAAGTAGATAAATCAGCATTCTTGAAAATTTGCTCTATAAAAACATTGTACATTTCTATATAACTCATTCAACAGCATATATACCCAGACCAGATTATTATTCAGCGACCAAGGCATATCAATTAATAACAAAATAAAACCACAACCCTACCCCCGAAATTTACAACCACTTTTGAACACAAACAATCACACACCAAATCCTTTGATCCAAGAGGCAAATCTTAGACAGATTGGAGAAGATTAGATAAAGATTAAACAGTTGGTACGAACTTTTGAACGCGTGTTGACAAGATCTGAAGGAGGTATCTAGAGTGGGACTGCAAGAGTATCATCTGATTTCACTTTGACGTTTTCAATGTGGAATCTCCAAGTTCTATGTCGAATCCGATTGCACAGAGCTCTCCGGAAACGACCGACCTCTGTATGGCACCACACCCTTGTACTACTAAGCAGCATGGCCTTGTTTCTATACCAGTAGTTTGCAGCTGGCTGTTGGCTTGTTATGTTAGCTGATTTGAATGGCTGATTGAGTTAGCTGTTTTACCGACTGTTTCTGTTAGTAGTTAAATTTTAAGCGTTTGGCAACTTTAGCTGTTTATAGTTAGCTGTTTGTAAATAAAATTACATAAAAGGACATCCCTCCATTTATGGTATATTTTATTTTACAATTTTTTTAAATATCATATCATAAATATATTTTTTAAAAAATAAAAAAATTAAATAAAAAATTATATATATATGTGTGTGTGTATGTGTGTGTATAGACATGATATTTATTTTTCATTTTTTTACATGTAAAAATTAAATCTTTACTATATGGAATATTAAATTTTAATTTCATTTAATTCATAATAAATTATAAATATAAATTTTTTTAATGGATTATAAATATAATTTTTTTATTTTTTACATATATTATAAAATATCTTTCAACAAAAATGATTTTAAAAAAAATATTTTTCCTAACCGCCAAGTCCAAATGCTACTCACCTTGGCATTTCAGATTTTGGCTTTTCGGATCAAAATGCCAAGTGAAAATGTAACGCCCCAAAACATACCCTAAAATTTTTAATGAATAAATATTCAATTAGTCAAATTTGTTTCGATTAAAATAAATAGTTATTGGACTTTGGGCCGAAATGAGATGTGTTTTGATATCCAATATCTTAATCTGGATAAATCTCATAGAGATAAATCCAATATGTTGAATATTTGTGTGGTCTTGATTGGGAACATGAGTACAAACCCAAATCAAGAATAAATAAAGAAATTAGTTATGTAGTGAACTTTGAAATGATTTATTGAAATAAATCATAGAAATAAATAATATGAATTGAATATGAGCACCTTTTTGAGTAAAGGTCAATTAAATCAATTTTGACTCTGTCAAAATCAACCACCCAAAAATATGATGTCAGAAAAAGTGTTACAAATAAATATAAAAATTATATCGTTGGATAGAGTTTAAATGTACGATCACAACTTAGTTATGTAGTGGAGAACGCAGTGGTGCTGTCAATTTAGTGTGAGGTCGCCGGAGTTGAGAGCTATTGTCGCCGGAAGTTTTGCCGGAAAATCTTCAAAACCTCCATTACGCTTCGAGGTAAGCCCGTAGATATATCTAGTGACTAGAATGTTCATATAGATTGTTTCTACGTTCATAAACGGTCGTTTGGTTGAGTTTTGTGTTTGACATGTTTGAAAAACCAAGAATCATAAACAATTAAATTGTTGTTAAAATTACGAATTAATGACTCTAAAATGATCTCTGAACATTGAAGAACATTTTTATATAATTAAATTGAAGTTTGGTGATTAAAAATGATAATGTTAAAACTGACCCGAGGAAGAAGATGATGAACAGTGGCCGAAAATCGATTATTTACTTACTAAAAATCGATTAGAATTTTATTCAGATCAGTGGTTCGAAGTCAGTACCATTTAATCGATTATTTATGTTGTAAAAATCGATTATTATGAATTAATTGATTATTTANAGAACATTTTTATATAATTAAATTGAAGTTTGGTGATTAAAAATGATAATGTTAAAACTGACCCGAGGAAGAAGATGATGAACAGTGGCCGAAAATCGATTATTTACTTACTAAAAATCGATTAGAATTTTATTCAGATCAGTGGTTCGAAGTCAGTACCATTTAATCGATTATTTATGTTGTAAAAATCGATTATTATGAATTAATTGATTATTTATATTGTAAAAATCGATTATTATGAATTAATTGATTATTTAAATTGTAAAAATCGGTTATTATGAATTAATTGATTATTAAAATTGTAAAAATCGATTATTATGAATTAATGGATTATTTAAATTGTAAAAATCGATTTTTTATGAATTAATCGATTATTTATATTGTAAAAATCAATTAAAATTAATTAAATGATTATTTAAATTGTAAAAATCGATTATTATGAATTAATTGATTATTTAAATTGTAAAAATTGATTATAATGAATTAATTGATTATTTAAATTGTAAAAATCGATTATTATGAATTAATGGATTATTTAAAATTATATAAATCAATTTTTATAAATTAAATGATTATTTTAAATTATTTTCCTCAATTCCAGATCCTGCTACGAAAATGTTCCTGAAAATATGCTCTAAAATCCTATTTTTGATAACTATTAATTATAAACAATACAAATATGATTTTGTATAACAAAAATGATGTTTTAGGCATACAAATCATTATGTGATGCATGACGGTAAGCTAGAGTGTTAACACTCAAAACTAGACCAATATTTGTTATCAAATGTTATGTTGATTGATGAATATGATGATTATGACTTGATGAAACTACTGATTAAAATGATTATTGAAGATTAAATTATGAACTGATATGAATATGTTGATGATTATGAAATTATTTGATTTGTAAGGACATCTAGAAGAACTCTAAGATATACCTAGGTTGACGTTGGTTTCTAAGACTATCTAGAAGACCTCTAAGATGGTTTAGAAATAGGCCTTGCGGGTATAATTATGAATATTCGGTGGCCTGGGTTAAAACGTACGTACGGGATCCATAACCAAACTAGAGGAACTCGTTTGGGGATGCCACCCAACCCGACAGTTAGTATCCTACTGCTCGGTTTCTAGATTTGTACCTTAAGCAAAGGCTAGTTTAAGAGTTGGTAAATCAATCGGAATATATGTACCTTAAACTAATGACCTAGCTTAAGAATTGGATAGAAGTACCTTAAACTAGAACTAGCTTAAGAGTTGGTAAACATCAAATAGATTGGCCTTAGACTAAGAATAGTTTAAGGATATTATTGAATGAGGATGTTGAATGTTGAATATGAATATTGAATGACGAATGTTGAAAATTGATTATTGTATATTTGAACTGAATACTTTGTGCATGATATCAAATGATTTGATTATGATTTTGGATTCAATTTATATGGATGTTCGACGCATTAGATATGCTTACTCAGCTTCACCGCTGAGCGTGTAGTATGTTTTATTTGCTACACGCAGGTTAATAGAAAGATGTTAGACACAATTTTATTATGTGGCCTGAGTTATCATTTATCTAATTAATTGATCATTGACCGAATAAATACCCTACGTACTTAATTGGTAATTATTCGATGGACGTAATTACCCTTATGACCTAATTAGGGTTTCCCCTTGGGTGTATATATATAGAGGTCATTAGGCAGAGATTAACACACCAATCTTACGCCTCCTCTCTGCCTCTCTAGTCTCGTGAGTCATTCTCACCTTAGTCATCATAATCATACACCCTAAACGGGAACTCGATCTGTGTGAGAATCATGGCCTCATCCCTAACTACGTTTACAGGATTATCAGGTACACATGATTAAATCCCTAATTTATACTTTATGTTTAAGAATTGATCAACATGTGGTATCAGAGCAATTATGTTGGTTAATCAATTCGCTTTCTCTAAAAAAAATAATGGAATCTTTGTCGGAAAAAAAAGGGATTATAAACCTTGTTTTAAGCTTTGAATTTGCTCATTAAATCAATTCCTTAAAGTATGATGGAGTACGCTATTAATATCATAGCAAGAATAAGTTTTCTTTAGCTGATTTGTTCTGATCTCCCCAAAACAAACTTACAATTTGTTCTTGAAATCTCCGCATACTGGTTTTTTCTCTCATAAATAATCGAGAACAATGTTTTCTGAAATTAAATCTTAAATATCCCTGTTTCCAATTAAATTTCATTGAGTATAATTCTGATAAATTATCACAGTT